GCAAAATGATTTCCGGATCGGATTCAAATGATACCAAATGTATTTGTTCCGATTTGCAGCACAGTGATTACTCGCCGGCATATGAATGGTATGTGTATCTTTCATCCTTTAATTCAATAAATTTGTTGAAATTAGCCAAACAATTCCTTTCAGTTCTGTCTCTGTCTATTAATCTAACTTTGCCTTATTTCCCATTATTTTTCTTCGATATATAGAAATCCGCCATCAATACTCGCCTAAATCATTAGGAAATAATGAAAATAGAATTAAAGACTTTAACCTAATTGACCTCAACCTCAGCAAGTTTCAGGTTTAACTATATAGCAGTCATTATTTTGTTACCATCAATTTCGGCTTTTGGTGTTCTGTCAAATATTGTCAATATTTTTGTTTATTCTCGAGAAAGGTTGGTCAAATCTGACAATGAAAATAAGTTAAATTTTAGTCTCATAACTGAAACTTATGAATGAATTATAATAAAAGTTATTTGCAGGATGCGCAGTTCATCCAACACCTATTTGTTATTTCTTTCTTCCAGTGATTTTTTAGTTGTTATAACGGGTCTTTTTATTTTCTGGATCGATTCCGCTAGGTTAGTTCACCTTTTCCAGACCTGTTGATATAAGCAATGAAAAACTAAAAGGAAGCAAATTTTCAACTCAAATATATATATTTATGGCTTAATAACGGCATCTCAGATCACTAGCGAATCTGCTGTAGAATTTAATTTACATATAGCAATTTAATTTCTGGTTCAATGATTCCGTCTTCACACAGCGTACAACTTACTGTTCAGGACTTATATTCCGGAATTATCGCGTGCACCTTATACAACTGTCTATGCATTACCCTTCGGATACATGGCACAAACCTGCAGCGTATATTTCACTGTTGCAGCTGCTGTCGATTGTTATATCAACGTTAGTTTGATAGCAATGCAAGATATGAATTTATTTATTAATGCGAGACACGAGAAACACATCCACAACTTTTATAATGACTCATTACAAAACATTGCTGTTAACGGAATTCACTTCGAAATTCAAAATGCATATCATATTCAATTTTTAAGGTATGTTGGAAAACAGTAAGTGCAAGCTATTGTACAATTCGACGTGCTTGTGAAATAAACACGTGTATAACTGTGTGCTCCATCATCTATAACTCATTACGTTTCCCACAGTTCAACTTGAGGAAATGCTTGCATGGTAGTTCAAAGGTCATTTTTTAATCATTTTCATATCACAAATTATCACTTTACTTGAAAGTTGCAAGGGTCTTACTAATTCAAGGAAAGCAAAGACTACCGCTGTGTATTAGTTGACCAATGACCCAATGACATTCATCTCCTCATTGGGTGTATTAAGCATATAAGTCTTGATGATAATTTTGCCCCTAGTAAGTTTTGAAATAACACAATTTAAGTAGCAAAATTCAGTAACAAAATTTAAAAATAACTAATTTTCAACATGTGCGTCTTTTGACTTGAAAATTTTTATTCTTTTGAAATTCCATTTTCACAATTCTTCTTTAATATTTTAAATAAAAGTTAGCAGTTTCGTGCCTAGTTTCGTACCATTTGCAATCTCAACAAAATTTTTTTCTTTTAATATCATAGCAACATCTGTCTGTGTAAATGTCATATGCTATGTGCTTAGAGATTCGGAAATATTTATGATACATTTTTGTTTAATTCATCTAATTTGCGAATGTTTTTGCATTTATCTTATTGTTACCTCCCCCAAATTCGTCCAATCAGACAATTAATTATTACTAAAAGATTGTTCGCCGTTTAAATATTTAACATACCCATTGTGATTAAATTCATATGCTGAATAAAATTCGTTTCCAAGATCAGAATATTGAGAACAAAGAATAAATTTCAATTGACAAATATCATATAATAATTAGAATTAATGCAATCTAAATATTCATTGTTTTTATAAGACAATTTTTAAAGAAAATGGGGTGCTACTATTAAAATTAATAACAGAAGAATCAAAAGTTAAAGCATTAAATGGATGTGTTTATAAAATAATGTCAGGTCTCATAGAAAAGGTTATACATGCTTGATGTTAGAAAGGACAAATCTATGTGACCTAAAAGCAAAAGTTCAATTACTTAAAAAATGTCGCTGTTTCTAAAGAAGAATTACTCAGTTAAATTTACTAACATTTCAGGAAATAATAGTCGAAATTTGTCCGACCTCTTTATTCTTTGCAATCAATACGATATATAATGTATATATGTACATGGTGCTGATGACTTTACTTCCTTTTCTATTTCTATCCATTTTAAATGCTATCATTGTTGTACAACAATCCTCGTAAGTTTTCTTTCTTTGATAGTTTTTAGATATCTTTGTCAAATGAAAGAAATTAATAATCAATCTTTTATTAGTGAAATTTTGAAAACTTTTAATATCTCTTAGTTTTTATAACGATACAGTTAGTTAAGAGATTTGTCAGGTAGCTTTTAAACTATCATTTTTCGTTTATACTAACATATCTGAAACTGCCCAATATGCTAGACACTGCTACTAATGATATTAATCTATTTACACATATCTTACATACCTTTGCTCAGTTATTAATTTTTCATGAACTGCTACAGCATTCTAAATTCATATTTAATTGTTTTCTTAAGTATGCTTTTGCTGTTTGGCATAATATCGTCTCAGAATTGAAATTTACAGCATATCGCGATCAAATTCAATGGGTTTTGTCAAAGACAATGCTTCTCGAATCGCTATGACAGGTGAATTTCTATGACTGCATTTGAATTCATGAAAAGACTCATAATTTCCGTATTCGTTCACATTTTACGTTCAGCTTCTTTGGGTCATATAACGGATACAATGCTTCAACCGACCGATCGCAATGGAGCAATCGGATCCGATGATAGTATAACAATGGTTATGGTGGTTATTTTATTCTTATGCTGCAATATTTTGGTAAGACCTCATCAATTTTTGTTGCTCTGAGATTAATTTGAATTTTGCAATTTAGTTATTTACTTTGAATCCATTACAACCCTAAATGTTTGCACAGAAAGCCGTTCATAATATGGGTTCATAATATTACCTATTTCATAGATATTTAAAATCTAGTTAAATTATTAAATAATTTGTTCTTTCAATCTACATTAAATAATCAATAATTTATTGACCGAAAATTTTTGGAAACTATATGATTTTTGCTACAAAAATTTTCTAGAATTCTTAAAAATCTTATTATATGAAAATAAATGAACACAAACTGATTGATTGATCAGTGCTATCATTTCAAGATATTGATTTGTAGATCGATTCTTTTACATTTCATCAGAAAAGTTAGCAAACAAATGAATGAAAGTGATCTTAAGTAATACGATACAATCGTTGCTGTGTAAGCATCCCTGAAGAAGTCTATGATGTCAACAGCGCAACTTCTTTTATTCCAGGCACTTATAGTGAATGTTATTGAAACATTTTTTGAGCCAAGCACTTTGTTGCTCAATTTTCTCACCGACACTAGCAATTTCCTAGTAGTTTTGAATTCATCTATCAATTGTCTCATTTATTACACTTTCAACAAAGAATACAAGGAAGTTTTCTTGTTAGTTTTATTTTATTAATTTCATCGTCTTCCATTTGCATTCATTTTTATAACCATTGGTTTATGATCCTTCTTGTATCTTTGAATTCAAAATAGTTTCACTCTATTGTGATATAAATCATTCAGAATAAAAGTGCAAACAGTTAAACGACAACTGATTAACAAATACTTGAAGACTAGCGCTGATCGAACACAAAACACATCACCCAATTCCACTCCTGTCATTGCACATTTTTTTAAAAAAAATTCACCAAGACAAAGTAAGCATTTTTGAATTTAAATTCTAACAAATTTTTGAAATCATTGTGCAAGAGATATCACTGTAGTTACTTACCTTAGATTGCTTAAATTTGCTCAAATCAAAGACATTTTGATACATTATTCACCTTCTTTATATGACCGAACTTGGGATTTTCAGTGGATTTTCTTATATTGTCAGATTGTTTTTTGGAGAAGTGTTCTTTAAAGTCTAAGCTTCTTGAAAGCTATTGGATTTCTTGAATTTTATTTTCTCCCACGAATCACTATGGAAATATGCGTTTTTGTTTCACCAGAAATGATGACGTGCAGTTCACCGGTGTGGAAACCAATGTATCGTCAAATCAGAAATTATAATTCTTTTCCCATAACAAACGACAATTCAAATATTCCAGGTGGTAGAAATATTGAGTTTTTTCAAAATCTCATTTCTTTCATTGAAAAAAAAATGTTTGCCTTTGGAAGAAATTTAGTAGCTTAAAACTTGAAAGAGATGCGTTGGGAATTTCAAAACTTTTTTATCTATCATTCCGTTCCACGTTTAGGTGTAAATAATACGGGCTGTTTGGAAATTCTGTTGGACAATGACGCGAAAAATGTCAAATCGGAAAGCGCTTGGACGAATACTACTAGCATTAAAGTGAGTTATATTTTGTTAATTCTTCTTCAGATATGAATTGTATTTTATTGTGATTCTGAACAGCGATAGTAAAATTTCGTTATTTTTACGACTTTTTAATTAGAAACTGTGCAAATCTTTCAAATTTGGAAAAATGTATTGAAAAACGTTGTTAGTATTGGAAAACATAAGTAAATGCTTAAGTAATTATTTCATTTTTACTCTTTTGTAAAAAAAAGTAACTAAATTGAAGGATCTATTTTTTAGGATGATACTGTAACAAAACGTTGGGTAGCTGAGATACAAATTGAGCATAGGAATGAATCGGACACTTTACATCCACGCATTTATGTTTTACCTTTGCGAAAATATATAGTCAGAAATGTTAGTATTACAACTTTGTAAATAGTTGTAAAACTGAAATTGAAACTCAACTTTTATTGGCTCATTCTTTTCTTCATTAACTGTTGTGTTGATTTGAAATGAAAATGAAATTAAAGTTTTAGAAGCAAAAGAAATTCAAATTATTAGCATTCATTTTTAAATAAAAATATAGTAGTTGATCCTATAAAGAAATAGATATGATTTGAAGGATCGTATCGTACGTAAAATCCCAAATTTCCATCACTTACGATACAGTGCCACGCTGAGCCATATCTCTCCTCGAAATGGGACATTATATACTGAGCCATTGCCATATTTTGACTTGGATGTCTAAAGAAATTACCGATTTCTTAATTATATTTTATAATATAAATTTTGTAATCTTCCAAAAAGCAAATTTATCAGAGAAGCTAATGAAGAGAAGTGAGATTTCAAAAAGTCAAATTATTATAAACAATTATCGATCTAAAGTTTGAGGAATAAGCAAAGAGAATCTAATTGCGACAGATAATAAATGCTATGCAATTTGTAAGTTTTTGAAATACATTTGCTTTTATGCATTATAAGTAAGTACACTTAGTTGATAATATATTTCAAGTGAAGGCATACAAACACAACAAATTTCAACAAATGCATGCTTATAAATAAATATTGTTGAGATCGTAAAATATTCAACTTTGCAACTTCAAAGGGAAACGAACTGTCACCTATTTTGTCATCATTTATCTATTTATTTAGCCACTTTACCATGGTATGAAATAAGAACTTACTGCATAATAGCTTCATTGGCACACTGAATTGCGTATTGTTGTTTTTCAGTGTCCATACCTGATGCAATAATCTGAGCATTTCCGGTTTCGATATCAGGATTTGGATTTGGGTCTTCGATTGATTGAGGGTCCGACATTATGCTTTGGACAAAGCCTTAAATAAACTTTGGAAAAATCGGTTTCTTTAGGAATTGAAAATCTTCCGAGCAATTCGTACAAAAGAACGACGAAATTGAAATTTGCTATTAACATAAAAGTGTGTTTGTTCAAAATGGAAAGCTGAATAATGGGACATATTCAGAAATAATTCATAATATAAAATCTGATACTGATTTTTAAAAGAAAAAATTTGAAATTTTTGAAATAAAACTAAGGAAATTCGAAAAGTGAAGACGTTTTGAGAGCTATGGGAAAATGTAAAACGTAAGAGTGCTTTAAGAGAATGAATCATCCGATGTTAACTTTGTCATACTTCAAAATACTTTAGCATTATTTGCAAGTTTTTGCCCGTTCAAAAACATCTGCCAAATTCATTAAGTTAGATTGTCTCAAGCAAGACAATGAATAATAAATAATTGTATTAATGAAGAAAAATTTGCTCCAAAATAGCTTTAATTTTTCTGAAAACTTTATACATTTTCAAGTTTACTCAACAGCTGACATTGTAAGTTAAGCTGAAAAAATTTCAAATTGTTTTGTCCTGAAATGAATTTAAAGAAGAAAAACAAAAAATAAGAGATAAACAAATTATAAAGGTCATAAGCGTTTAGATTCAATTGTTGCAATGCAACAGTAATAATTGCAACAGAGTTGATAATTCAAAAGAAGCAGTAGTAGGAAACGTAAAATACATTTGTCTGAATGATATTGACAATTACTGATAGCAATGATAATAAGCGTTACAGATTCGTAATGTTAGTCATAGTGATATCTAAGAGAAATAAGATTTGATCGCTTTGACTGATTAATAAATGATAATTATCATAAAGTTAGAGAGAAGGACAACATTTTTTCCAATTCTCCCAATCAATCAAAATTACAAAACAATTTCTATAAGTTAGAAAATTTTAATTTTTCAATATGTTCAATACCCAATAAAATAACGAGAAGCCTTATGATTCATTAAATGTTTTGTTTCACACTAAAAAAGTTAGATCAAAAATTTATGTTTTAGAAGAAAAATACGAAAAAATTGTGAGGAAGTACAACAGGTACAATCAGAAGTTAGAATAGTAAAGCATTGTCTATTATTGATAATATAAAAGAATTTAAACTTCAACTGATAAGAACTTTTAAACAGACCACAACATTCCGTCAAACATCCTAGCATCTAAAAATTTTCAAAAATTTTGAGGACATTCTTTATCGCTATCATTTACCAATTCTCAATACTGCTTGTCCTCTTTTACCTACAATTTACACATATTTCACTCACAAAGTACCACTTTTGTAGAGAAAAATGGTATGTCTGGATAATGTGAAGTAAATATGATTCTCTCTGTCATAACGCAGATAAAATCCCAATTGTCCATTACTAACAGCGCAACACCACACTGGTCCATATCGCTCTTCAAAATTCATCATGATATGGCGCGCAATAGCCATCATCTGATTTGGAAATCTGCAAAATTTCTGGAAGTGTTACTATAATGATTAATAGATCAATCTATCTAGATTCTAAGATAAAACTTTCTCGTTAATTTGACAAAGGTAATTTTTGCTGCAATATATGATAATTGCAGCAGGAGGGAATAAATGGACGCGATTATATTCAATTTAATGAAGTCATTTAACCTAAGTACCTTTCAGTACAAATGTGTTGTTAAACAAATATAAATTTGATAAGAGGTTGATGTAAGCTGTTTGTTCTCAATTGAAACTTACTGTGTAAGAGCTTCACTAGCAAGCAGTGATGCATATTGTTGCATTTCCGTATTCATGCCGGTAGCAATGATTTGACATACTTCAGGTCCTACTGATGCTGATGCCGGTGGTTGCGGCTGATAAGGTTCTGGCAATTCTGAATGCGGTTGTGGTTGATAGGGATGAACTGGTGATGGCTGGTCTAGATTTGGTTGTGGAAAGTTCGATTCCGGATGTGGTTGTATGGGTAATCTCTCGGGTTGTCGTGGCTCTTCCGGCTCTACGCGCTCTGCTTGCTTATCTACTGACGGTGGCTCGGCATGCTGATGCAGTTCTGCGTGCTCTCCTTGACCGTTATTAGTGTTTCCTCTAGTTGCTTCTGATTTATCAGACAGGTGAGTTGCAAAACCACCTCCTTCTTCGGTGTGATCATCCCTTAACAACTGTCCCTCTGAAGCATTTTTTGCAGGTTTTCCAGCGTTACTAGTACCATCACCTGTCTTTGTGTCACCACCATCGTCACCAATATCATAATCATACGGCAATAAAGTTATCTCCTCTCCAGTCTCCTTGAAGTATTGTCAGTATTGCTTTTTAAATTTTCAAGTTATTTCATTTTAATTAAAAAAACCGCGAAATGATTTACAAATTTAAGTAATTCATTACATATATGGTCTATCCAGCTTTTTTGGGAGCGGTGCAGAAATTCTTCATAAAATTTCATATTTGTGAATAGAAATTATAACTTACTGTCATTGGAAGTTAAGGATAATAATGGAACGTTCTAATAAATGGTAGAACAAAGTTTTGAAGTTGAGAAGAGTAAAGAGAGAGAAAGAGAGAGAGGGATAAATTTAATAAAACATGAGAATATGTGGTTCGTTTCAGCTGTCTTTTTTTAATTGTTTTTTTTTTTTTTTTTTTTTTTTTTTTTTTTGAGGAAGGGTAAATAGGAAATAATTTGAAGAATTAGTGTAACATAACAGGTGCGTCTGGATTTATTTTTGTTCACAGCCATATGCTCAAAATGACATATTTTCAATTTCTTTTTTTCTTTTTATCTAAACAAATTAATCTCTGCCAACTTAAATTTTATTTATGCATTTCAGTTCAAGATAGATTGATTCAGTCGGGAATTTTCTATGTAACATGAAACAGGGGCGAATTTTTTGAGTCAAAAGTGCATGATATAATTATGATTATATCGTCATGCTGTGGATTATAGAAGGTTTGTGATACAACGGTTAGTTTTACTGTAATCTCGAGGAATTCGTAATTTCGATTCGTCACTATTACTTCATGAAATTGACGAAAGTGATTTGCTTGTTGTAAATGTATAATAAAAAGTAATTTTCTATTATTATATAGCAGTGAATTATATTGCAGTCTTTATCACTTTATTAATATACAAGCACAAAGATAATAAACAAACATAATTTATTGGTTTTTTGAATGGATAGGTCAATTTTATTTCATGTGTTTACATAAGTAAATATATGTACTTTTGTTTATGCATGTATAACGTGTACTTTCATTATTTTAAGGCAATTGTTAATTTACTTAGAACGAAAGTGTTGGTTCATTAAATTTAAATTACCTGTTTACTTCAGTGAAGAGCTATTACAGCTATTGAATATTTGACAAAAATTTCTCCTACTCTATGGTACATTTTTGTTCTTTCTTTTTAAGAAAATAACTGATCCAAAATAACGTCGACATCCAGCAATGTTTGCTCTCATAAAATTACACATAGTTGGTGCAAATTGTTTTGTTGATAGCTTTATTGTCTTTATAAGGGTAAATAATGAATTGCGGTAAGTTAATCCCATCAATATATTAATTTCAACAAGGAGCAAAATTCATTACTTTCAAGTATTACTTCCAGATCACTACTGAACATTACTTTTCAAATTTAGTAGGTTTTATGGATGCATAGACTCTTCAAGTGAAAGAATTTTTTTTGACAATTTTTTCTTCTGATAGGTTACTGTACAAGAGTCAGAATACTTCTTGAATCAAAAAAAAAAAAAAAAAAAAAAAAAAAAAAAAAGCGGAAAAGGAAAAAGGAAATACTACATACTACATTAAAATGAATTTTTTTTAAAAAAAAAAAAACATAAAAACTGAATAATAATATTTGTTGGCAACGATGAAATGTAAAAGAACAATTTGCAACTTTTCAACAATATCGCATAAAAAATTCATTCTATTTTTGATAAAAACTTTTAGGTAAAATGATTAAACATTTCTTAAATGTACTTTAAGAAACAATTTGTTTTCTTTTTTATCGATTAATTCATATCATCTGAGACTTTGATCAGCTGAATTAAAGGTTTTCCATTTTAATTTAGTTTGTATGATAAATGACAAAACATGATAGAGAGATAACTTATTAATTAATGTAGTTCAGTCTGTATATTTTTTACTAAAATCCTTACCAAAAAACCTGAAATATAAATTATGGAAGGAAATTAGAACATTTTCAACTATGTGATCTCATTCTTTTTTTGAGAAAATTAATTAAACTTATGTGTAACAGCATTTGATTAAAAAAAATGGCATTATATTTAATCAAAAAGAATAGAGTTAATCTTATGCAAACAAAATGAAACTTTAATTAAGCTTTCTCCAATTTCGTAATTCCAATCTTCACAAACGGTTATATATCTTTGGCGTAGAGATATATTTGGTTTTTATCACAATGAAAATTGAGCTGAAGTTAAATACATTATTTTGTTAAGCGTTCAGATGAACTATTCATTTTATCACCTCCCATTGAATTGATATGTAAATTACACAACAAAAAGATGATTTCTTGGCACGAAACTGAAATGCAGAAATTTTATAATTTCCTTTCCTTCTTTTTCTTTTATCCAATTTACGTCCTATTATTATATCCTTGGTTAGACTTGACATTGAGGAAATATCCGCCATTATGCATCGATAGTTCTAATCAAAGAAAGGAAAAAACGGTTTTCTGCATATTTTAAAACGTTGTTCAGATTTTTCAGCAGCAATAAGCAGTTTTTCAGGATGGGCAACCATTGAAGTGTTATGAATTAACTTGCACTATCGATCTGCTAAAGTCAGAAGTAATTATCTCTTGAAGTCTATTTTAATGATAAAATATGAGATTCTATGACAGGATGATGGAATGATAAAACGACGAAGTGAAATTGAACAGTCATATCAATTCATTTCCGCTTCAAAGATCCTTTCTTCATCAAAGTTCACAATAAAATTAACAAACTGGTTGTAAAGCTACAGTTATTTTGGTTCCATCCAAGCGATTTATACCGTAAATTTTTTCCAACTCAGCGATTTTCTAATTTATGGTACACTGTCATTCTTACATTCCTAAATACAATTTAAATAGCTAACGAATACCGCTCAACATAAAGTGAAATTTCTACTATTTCCCAAATCGCATATTATTCTCTTACTTGTGTCATAAGAAAAACTAAATTATATTATGATAGAGGTAAAAGAAACTAATTTTGAAATAGAAAAATGTATTGTAGAAAGCAGTGAATTAACGAGGAGAGAAAACTTTTGGTAACTTTTGATTTCACTGAAAAAAGTGCTCCTTTCTTGATTGTCAGAAATGGAATTATTAGAAATATTCGAATAGTATACAATCCTTTTTCGAATTGATTAAAATAATTTTATTTGTTCATAGCAGCATGAAATTGATGGTAAAAAAAGCTTCAAGAAGAATTATATTTGGAGAGACTATTTCCAAACAAAATTTTCTCTTTTCTTCATTGTTGCTGTTTTCTTGTCAGTGAATTTGTTCCAATATCGCCGGGTTTTAAATTTGAGAAGATAAAACAAATTTGCTGTCGCTACAAAATATTTTTTATTTCCGATAATATATTTATTAAAGAAGCAATTTTCAATCAAAAATAATGATGAAATAAATAGCGTAAGAAAATTTATATATAAATTATTTGTCAAAATTGCTAAAAATTGATAAAACGCAAAAAAATGTTTTCCTCTCTCAGTTTTTTTCCTTTTTTCCAAAGAAATTAGTTCAGAAACATAATATATAAGTGTAAAGTAAAAAAATGTATTGCGAAAGGAGTGCCGCTACTTTGAATTTCCTTTCGGCTTAAAATGGCCCAAAGAGTTAAATTGCTGAAGAATTTCAACTGTAAGCCGTTTTCAGGGCATTTTTTTTAATTTTAATTTACTCTAAAATGCTAACGCTAACATAAACGTATTTCTATTTACTTCCTTTTTTGAATATGTAATTAATTTTGCTCGTAGTAAAGCTTGTTTAAGTCAGGAAAAAATGAACAATTTGGTGTACGAACCTGTCAATTTTGATACACGTCATTGGTAAGTAACATAAAAAGTATTTGAGATTTATGTGAATGAAATATATTCACAACTTTTCGATACCTTCCGTATAGCTTGGGATTGTTTATTGAATTCAAAAATGATTTTATCCGGAGGAAATGCGTCAATGTTTGAATTATCGATTAGAGATATGAGTTCCATAACGATCTTATGATACACTAACGGACTCCTCGGTGTTTTCCCGTCCGGTATCACTTCCCAGTACCGTGCATTCATTTTTAAGGAGTCAGCTTTAGCTTCTGAAAGGAAAAATATGATCAAAAAATTTTAAGGCCTGCAATCTGTGTTTTGATCTTATTCTGTATTGTTTCCTACCTGACAATCCTGGCTATTTAAGCCTGTCACTCACAGTTTGTCACGTTTATGTGAGAATTTCAGAGTCATCAAACCGTAGATGACTCTTTTTCTAGACCACTCGAGAGATTACTTTAGAAAAGTTACGTTCATATGATGTAATCCTTGGTATAGTTGATGGCGAAGCTGGATCAGAAGCGATACCAATCAACCAAAGTAAACATTTTTCCATCAAATCTCTCAACTGCGCTGAAATTACAAACTATTTCCAAGTGAAAAATCTATTTTCACTCAAAAAAAAAGCGAAAAAAGCTCAAATTTTCAGCATTACATTTTCGCTGTAAGGAAGATCGGAAGAATTACTAAGAAAGCAATTCATACTTACAAAGTTTTTTCATTGCATATTTATATGAATTTGAGTTTCTCGTTGAATAAAGCAGAATACATCCATCAAAATCCAAAGTAGACCAAAGATCATGCTAGAATGTTATTTACAAAATCTTCAGCCAATTAAATTCTTAGAAATCCATGGTCATCTAATATAGTTTTGCATTTTCTTAATAGAATTCTTACTCATTTCTATGTTAATTATGATAACAGTAAATATTTTGAAAGCAGTTATCAGTAAACATCTTGATGTTATTGATAATGCAGATAAGAATTTGAAATATCCTCTTTAGCTTACTCAGTGGGTTTTCTTATATCAACCTAAATTTACTCTTCCAAAATAATTATGAAGATAAATTTATTACTATTTATTGATGTAATAACTTATCATTACTTATGAAATCAATAACAGACATTAATCAGTCTTTTGCTAATTATTGTTCTTTTTTATTTTGATTAATAAGGAATTAAAAATCAAAAAATTTCAAGCTTACTAACATTTACTTAAGTTAAAATAATATAATATTTTTGAGCAATGTTTCAGAACTTCAATATTTTTCATTTTTATATTAAGAAAAGCTATACGTCAAATTTATTCGTTTTTTTCTGATGAAGAATGATAAATAATTCGTGACTGCTATAGCATGTAGTCAGAAAAGAATTTGAAAAAAAGCTCTTTAAATTCTCCAAGCTATTCTGGCATTTACACCTTA